CAACAGATTACTTGCACTTTTTATGTGCACTTGGATACAATGAGACTAAGATCGAAACCTTATATAATGGTCAATACAAATGCTCAAACTCAACCTCTAGCATAAATACTATTTTGAATCTGAACTACCCGTCGATTACAGTTCCTAATCTTTCAGACTCCACAACTGTTACTAGGACTGTAACGAATGTGGGATCTCCTGGAGTCTATGTTGCTCGTGTTCGCCAACCATCTGGAGTATCAATTACCGTGAAGCCAAAGGAATTGAAGTTTGAGAAAAATGGAGAGAAAAAGAAGTTTGAGGTGACTCTGACATCAAAAGGTCTGAAGTCTGAAGACTACAAGTTTGGAGAGTTATTATGGTCAGATGGCAAGCACTTTGTTAGAAGTCCTATAGTAGTTGCTACTTCTGGTTGATGTAATTAGGAAATAGGTTTTAGCTTTTTAGGTTATTAGAGTTAAATGTGGTAGTATGGTTACTTATTTAATACGAAGTAGTAATTAGGGGAAAAAAAACTGTATATATAATTATAACGAGTTAATAGTGAGTTAGCTACTGCCAGTAAACTTATACTATAGGCTATCTATACTCCTTAAATTCTAAATTCTTTCCAATTTGCTTAGCTTGAAGCAAATTGTGCATTGCTCTGTAATATTTACCAATTTCTATTTGAAATCGCGATTTTAGTGTGACAATGTAATGATACAGATGCTACATTACCACACAAGTACACACCTAATGCTTTAAACTTGCTATCACTTTGGTTTGTAGGGGTCGTTTGGTTTGTACTTCATTGATGTTATGTATGAGGTGCAGATACCAACGCCTCTAGCTAAAAAATCGAGTTCAACATACAATGTACTTCCTCCGTTCTTTATTACTTAACCCGTTTTGACTTTTACACTATTTACCACCCCTCCTTTGACCGTCTTTTGTGAATAATATGTAAGGAATAATATATTCATGAATGATTTTTTGGATTCGTCTCAATAAGTACTATCATAATATATAACTTTTATAATTTTTACTTATGGAGACATGGAAGAGTGAGAAGATGCCGTTTGAGTTAGTTTGCGTTGATCTTGACATTAAGTGGTTGGGGATCAGGGGGATCCATTTAGACGTTGCTGATAATGCTTTAGAACCTGAGGAGCTCAAGAAGCTTGACTTCACGGCCATGGATGAGGATGATTTAGCTGCTGCCAAAGAACTATTGTTCGAATCAAATTTTGTGAACAAGTCCCCAGAGAGGGTTGCGGAGGTGAGCAGGATGATTGATAGGAAGTTGATGGTCAGGGTGGCTGATCTTGATACTGTTGATTTTCTTCTCAAGTATCTTCCTACTGTGATTCAAGGCAACAAGTGGATTTAGGAAGCCTATCAGGGAGTAATTGTTATGAAATCGGTGCAAGTTATAAACCAGTAAATAAGCTGTTTAAAGGCAAATTAGATGGTTCCACCCACCCAATTGGACTCCCAAAGGGTATTAGCGACCATGGTAAACATTTCGAAAATTATTATTTTTGGGCGAAAAACGTTTAAAATTTCCGAAATTAAAGGCTAATATCCACGCTTTAGAGAAATTTTGGAGGTTTCGGGGCCCGGTGTAAAAAAGTAATAATATTTTAGGGGATACATCTCGAGGTCATATAATGCCGTTTGGAATCATATATAATCATTATATGTTGTCATAAATGTTCGTAGTAGGCTTGAGTTAATGAAATTCGTGCAAGTTGTAAACCGATAATTAAATTGGTTGTTTAAAGGCAAATTCGATGGTTCCATCAACCCAATTGGACTCCCGGAGGATATTAGGGACCGTGATAAACATTTCGGCAATTTTTATTTTCGGGCGAAAAAAAGTCAAAAAAAATTCAAAAATGGAAGGCGAATATCCACGATTTTTGAGAAATTTGGAGTATTCGGGGCCCGGTGTCTAAAAGTCTTGACAGTATAGGGAATACATGTCAAGGTCATATAATGTCGTTTGGAACAATATATGATCATTATTTGTTGTCATAAATGTTCGTGGTAGGGTTGAGATAATGAAACCGGTGCAAGTTGTAAACCAATAAATTGGGTGTTTAAAGGCAAATTGAATGTTCCACCTACCCAATTGGACCCTTGGGGGATATTACGGACCATGGTCAACATTACGGCAATTTTTATTTCCGTGAAAAAAAAGTCAAAAAAATTTCCAAAATTGAAGACTATTATCCGTGCTTTTTTAGAAATTTCGATAGTTTCGGGGCCGGGTGTCGAAAAGAAAATGAGATTTTAGGGGAAACATCTCAGATCATATAATGTCGTTTGGAACCATAAATGATCATTATTTGTTTTCATAAATGTTTGTGGTAGGTTTGAGTTAATGAAATCGGTGCAAGTTATAAATCGGTAAATTGGTCGTTAAAAGGCAAATTGGATGGTTCCACCCACCCAATTGGACTCCCAGAGGGTATTAGAGACCATGGTGAACATTTCAGCAATTTTTATTTCCGGGCGAAAAAAAGTCAAAAAATTCCTAAATTGAAGGCTAATATCTACGCTTTTTGAGAATTTTTGGGGTCTTCGGGGACCGGTGTCGAAAAATCTTGAAATTCTAGGGAATACATCTCGGGGTCATATAATGTCGTTTGGAACCATATATGATCATTATTTTTTGTCATAAATATTCATGGTAGGCTTGAATTAATGAAATCGGTGTAAGTTGTAAACCGATAAATTGGTAGTTTAAAGGCAAATTGGATGGTTCCACGCAACCAACTAGACCCCCGGAGGGTATTCGGGACCATGGTAAACATTTCGGAAATTTTAATAACCGTACGAAAAAAGTCAAAAAATTCCAAAATTGAAAGCTAATTATACACACTTTTTGAGAAATTTCGAATGTTTCGGGGCTCAGTGTGGAAAAGCATTGAGATTTTAGGGGATAAATCTCGGGGACATATAATGTCGTTTGGATCCATATATGATCATTATATGCGGTCATAAATGTTCGTGGTAAGCTTGAGTTAATGACATCGGTGCAAGTTGTAAACCGGTAAATTGGTCGTTTTAAGGCAAATTGGATGGTTCCACCCAGCCAATTGTACTCCCGGAGGGTATTAGGGACCATGGTAAACACTTTGGCAACTATTATTTCCGGGTGAAAAAAAAAGTCAAAAAGTTCCAAAATTCAAGGCTAATATCCACGCATTTTGAGAAATTTTGGAGGTTTCGGGTGGAGCTGTTAATTCGGGTAAACGGGTCAGGTTTTGATCGGTAAGAGTTGGTCGGGGGTCAACTCAGGTTGGGTCAATTCAGATTAATTCCATAACCTATGTGGGTCGGGTTATGGTTGGGTCATGCTTGAGTTGGGTTACGTCGGTTTGTACTTCTTATCGGGTATGGGTCGGGTTTAGGTCGGATTGATAACAGGTTTGGTAACATTCGGGTCGGGTGAACAATAGGTCGGGGTTTAATTCGGGTTTTCACGGGTTAGGGTAATTTTCGGGCTCGAGTCGGGTTCGGTTCAAGTCAATTATTTGCAGGTTAGAATCAGGTTGGGTTATTCTCTTTTGAGTTGGGTTCAGCTCAAGTCAATAATTTACGGGTTATAATCAAGTTGGGTCATTTCCAAGTCGGGTCATTCTCGGAGTCATGTCGGGTTATGTTCAAGTCAATAATTTGCAGGTTAAAATCAGGTTAGGTCATTTTCAAGTCAGATCATATTCGAATTCAACTAACGATAAATAGATTATTATCATTTTTCTCAAGCTTATTATTTCCTTTGACTATAATATATATAGGAATATACTAGGGAACTATAGTTTATAATTTAGGAAGATAGTTCTCTCCTTTGACCATACAACAAATATATACTATATTTATTATTTAACTCTTAAATTTGAGGATGATATTCCTTTCTTTTGCTGGCTTGGACCGACTTGTTCTCCCTAGACAAAATGCTTTGATCAACAATAATAAGGTGGTCTAAATTGCATTTAAGGTGATTTGAAATCGGGTCAGGAACAATTTGGGTTTAATTTAGGTCGGGTCAATAGCAAGTCGTGTTGATTTCGAGTCGGGTTAGTAACATATCGGGTTGAATTTTTGGGTCGGGTTAGTAATAGGTGTGGTAAAATTCGGGTCGGGTCAATAACAAGTCGGACTGAATTTAAGTCAGGTCAATAACAAGTCGGGTTAATTTCGGGTCCGATTTGTAACAGGTTAGGTTAAATTTGGGTCGGGTTAGGAACGGGTCGGGTTGAATTCAAGTCAGGTTAGTAACAAGTCGGGTTAAATTCGGGTTTTGAGGGGTTAAAACGAGTTTGGGTCAATTTCGTTTCAAGTCGGGGTCGGTTCAGGCCAATAACTTACGGGTTACATTCGAGTCGTGTCATCTCTAGGTCGGTTTATGTTCGGGTCTCACGTACTCGGGTCAACACGGGTCTAGAATTGGTTTCAGGTCGGGTTTGGGTCACCATTTTTTCGAGTTCAGATGGGTCGGTTAATAAACGGATTTAAGTCGATATTTCGGGTCAACTTTTGACAGCTGCACATTTCCTTTTAAAAAAAAAAGTTTCAAAAAAAAAATGACAGCTGTGGGATTTGAACCCACGCCCTTTCGGACCAGAGCCTAAATCTGGCGCCTTAGACCACTCGGCCAAACTGTCAGGTGTTAACTTCTTAAACAATTAAATACTAGAGACCAATTAAAAAAAAAAACGCAATCATACAGTAAGCATTTGATTTGATTTATTAATCATCGTCTTAATTTTTCCTCGGTTAAAATAAATTTACTCCTTAATAATGTATTATAGTTTATGCAGGTGCTTGGATGTGGAAGATCAATCTTGTTGCTGTTTCGCGGTGTTTCGGTGTAAGGTATGTTGAAGATATAGTATGATAGTTGTACTGCATTACATTAGTTATGAATATATGATACTATCAGTCCAATATTTCTGTTAGTTCTTGCAAAAAAAGTTGCTAAGTAAAGACAAAAGTTTATACTTTTATCATGCATCATCTCAAATATAAGCAATTTCCGTAAATTGATTGCCAGGGAGGCTACAAGATGGGGTCTAATTTAGCCAAACATTTGAATTGAATTTACATGTACTTGATCCTGTGATCTAATATTACAAAATACAGACTATATTTGTTCGTCGAATATGATTTATTGTGGTAAAAAAGTAGGTCGTATGTTTTGTAAGAGCTAATTTAGCTCAAACCATACATTATATAAACAATCAAATGTAAGGTTTTACAAAACAAAGAATCATGTATTCTTTTGGCTGCTTTTAACAAAGAATCATGTTTTCTTGTGGTTACTTTCCTTTGAGTCTTATCGTCGTTGTGCTAAAATCCTTTGTCCCATATATCTGCAATGCAAAGATATTATAGTAAGAAAACAGGAAGAGAAATTACCAGATAGGAGAACTTAAAAACTGATAATGAGTAAGGGTGATCATTGGCAACATAAATACCTTCCGAGCATCATCACAGTAGCTTGAGGATTGGTCCCTGGCGAGTCATAGAATGTAGACCCATCGATAACCCTTAAACCTACTGTGCCAAGAACCTTATAGTCCTTATCGACGACTTTATTAACTTGACAACCTCCATGATAATGCCATATACTCAATACTGTATCAATGCAAAACTGTTCCAAAGAAAGTGCAGTGGAAAAATGCCTTGGCCTTAAGTTTAGAGGGAAGTTGACAACAATGTTTATAAGTGCTTGTGTAGTCATTCCTGGTACACGGAACTTTGAGAAAGGTTCTGATTCTATGACCTTTATAATGGTCTCCATTCCCATAACACACCTTTGTAGGTCATCTGGATCTTGGAAATAGTTGAATCTGACAGCAGGATTGTCATTTGGATCTACGGTTGCTAGATGCAAATATCCTGAAGAGCGCGGACCAGCAATCTTTTCTAGGATACAGCCACTATTGATGGTTCCGTTCAATAGAGAATGCATGTATTCAATTGCTGTATCCAAGTCTCCTTGTGTAGTTATCACATTAGGTCCATCAGATGATTGGCTAGCCTGCACATATTCAACAATATCCTCTGTTAGTATCCATATATCCAATAAACTTTATAATATTGTTTTTTTTTACAAGAACTTTATAATATTGTATAGCCTTGAATGTTGTGACATTTATGAATTATTCTTCATCTCGCTGATGATTATAATTCTAGATCACTCTTATCAATTGTCTATCGAAAATCAAAATGATTTTAATTTACAAAAATACCTTACATCTCACTATTACCTGCTTCTGCATCAGTTTCAGAATTGCTTTATAAATCAAGTACATGATGAAAAAAGATATTTTCAACTAGTAGCTAGTCATCTGTTGTGCTTTTAAAAATGTTATCCTCCAACATAAAATATGACCTTTAATTATGGATATGGAGCTGTGACATATATTCATGCTTTTAATGTATACTTGAAAAGTTGAAATACGGCATTGCTTCACATGATGTGGATATGAAACTTAGTAATTTCACCTTTATCTACTTAATTTTATAAACTCGAGGTCAGATATCGACATCATCATATCTATTGATCAAATACTTCAATTGAATACAGGAGGTTTAGGGGCCTCAAACCTGGGAAGTCAGCATCTGAGCAGCTGAAGGAAGATTCTGCATGAAAGCTCGTACATTACTTGAGCCACTTGCTGCTTCAATGAAACTACCAAATTCAGTGATGCCAACAGCTTGAATCAGGGATGTTTCCACACTAATAGGAGAAGGAATGAACAACAGATTCATGGGATTATCAGCCATTCCTTGTCCCACCTGAGGCTGGTCCAACACCACTTCGATACCATGAAGCATAAGCTCAGTAGCTGGTCCAACCCCACTTAGCATCAGCAATTGTGGACTTCCTAGTGCACCTGCTGATAAAATCACCTCATTTGCTGCCCCTGGTCGTAGAAATGCTTTGTGCACGATTCCGACTGAATCCTTGAATATCACTCCATAAGCTCTTGGCTTCCCAAGCTCTGCATCAACACCAATGAATACAATCAAAATATGTCACTGCTATTGCAGTTTCAATCAGTAAGGTTCTATCTGGTCATTTATATATCTATTGGCTCTGCTAAGAGATTAGAAAACTGAAATAAGGCCTAAAGTATTTTGTCAAACCTCCTCTCTAAAACTCTGATAGCCTATTATATCTGTTTTAGTCTTGCAGTCTCTAAATCTTCGAATTTTTCTGTATCTAGATCTAGGCAAAAAATTTCTCAGTTGATCTGTAAACATGAAATTCTATCCAAGTAATAAAAATGACTTCTCCAACACTGCAGGGTCAAGGATTAAAAAAATCTATACTATTGTCCGAGCTAAACCCGAACTTCATGTGCTTCTCATAGATATAAGGAGACACTCTGTTACTTGGACTCGGGTATGTACTTAAGTGCCAAACTCGGCTACTTTCTATGAAATACTCCTTGATTTTGGTCCAAGACATAGTGTCAGAAGGTTGAGGATCTAACATGGGTACTTGAACTGAAATGAAGAGTCCCGAGTAAACGGAGGAAAAATAAACAGAACTGCTAGCAGAGATCGTACAATTATTAATCAAACAATTTCTTATACGTACTGAAAAAAAAAATAACACATCAGTCTTACCTCTCCTGCTGAACAAGATTTTCTGAGCTACAGCATACAAATAAACAGTAGCTCTTCGAGGATCGGCATACTCTAGCAAATCAGCAGCTGTATGTCTGTGACCATTGTTATCAAATATAGTCCCTCCAAATTTGGTGCCATGAATATGGTCATAGGTAAATCCATTATAAGGCTGCACACCTGCCTGCAACAATCCATCTTTAACCGCGGTCTGAAACTGCAGCATTGGTGGCTCAAATGCAACCTTCCTCTCAACCCAAGCATACGACTGATTCACCAACCCATAATCCCATCCAACTTTAGCCACAAACTCAGGGGGAGCCCTCGTGTAGAACCCGGCATTGATGGCAGATCCTCCACCTAGAACACGAGCACGGGCGTTTAAGACACCGTCTTCTGATACAAATCCTTGTGACGGCGAAGATGGAGAAACATTAGCAAGATTAGCTCCGAATGAGCCTATATCTTCAACATTCTTGTTTCCATAAGGTACTCCTCCTCGCTCTAACAATAACACGGTTGCACCATCTGAGAGAGTTGCTGCTAGTGAACACCCTGCTGTTCCTCCACCAACAACTATGTAATCAAAGTAGGAAACTGCAGGAGCCAATGTTGCTGGTTTCACAAAGGAAAAATGTGGGGCTGCAACATAGAAAAAAAAAAAAAACATATTAACTCAAAAGATTAATTTAAATCTGTGTAATCACAAAAATGAAATGAGCAAGTATTATTCATGTTTCTTGTCACATAAACCATATACTATATGGTTTTTGTTAAATAAAAAGTTAAGTCGTCACACAACAATTATTTTACCTTTCTCAGCAAAAGAAGCATAAAAGAAAGAAACTCCAAAGATGAAAATGAAGGCGAGTTTACGACACTCAGAATCCATGAGCAAGGTAATCTGAAGGTTATAAATTTTGTGAAGAAGCAACAAAATATAATGGGAGGCAACTACTCGTCTTTAAATAAACTCGTAACGCCAATGCAGCTAGCACAAAGAAATTTTAGTGCATTTTCCTTTGAGGTAAAAAGATCTTCCCTTACACTTAGTCACAAAATAAGGTAATTATTGTTCAACAACATTTAGCTTTTTTTGTGACACATTCATCTAAAGATTATTGCAAGCTAGATTCTAGTAAGCATGCTAAATGCACATTCATCTCCTTCTCCTTCCCCTTCTCCCCCTCATATTTATAATTTCTCGGTATCGCCTCGTATTATTACTTTAAACACTACTTGATTACACAAAATCCTTGGAGGCTATTGATTGTGGGTTGTTAATTGTTGAAGTTGGTTCAAAAAGCTTGCACTTGCATTGTGAGCTAGACTTGTCTCCCCTACATCCTGTCATTTTCTTCATTTTTTTAAAATTTTGGTAAAATTATTTTATTTTTTTTTCTAGGGAAATGGTCATATATTTAGTACGTGGATCAAATGTTCTCCATTCATAACTTGTCCTTGAGATACCATAGTAGTAAATGTGTATTTTATTCTATACATATAATTAATATTTGTCCATTTTTAGGTCCAAAAATAATATTTTTTTTGACTTTATTATTAAAAGCTGTTATTTCCTCTGTTTTTTCCATGGTATATGAACTAGAATGACCAATATACATTGGTTTAGAGAATAATGAAGAAACTATATGTTATTTTTCTTGTCGGTAATAAACGATAAATTTGGTTGGTTATTTTTCTGATGGAAATCTCAGTTATTATATGACAGAAGAAGATAATAAAAGGCAATCACTTTTGATACATTTATGACTGACTTTTTTTTTTTTTTTTGATGATTTTAGTTAAGCCAGTAATTTGGTCAATCAAATGTGCATGCATGTTTAATGTATAAATGTTGTATTATTGAAGCAAGTTGACACATGAGGTGGTAAAATTTGAACGTGTTTTGTTTGTATGTGTAATTTTATTTGGTTGTTTGTAAGTGACCTAGCTTTAAACTTCTTGTACATTGAGTTTGTTTCGGGTGAAAACAATGGGACCTTGCCGAAGGTCCGATGAAGTGGAGAAGACTAGATTCGATCCAAGAAATGTTGGGCCGAAGGTTTCCTGCACAGTAAACACACGTAAACTAGCCTCGGGGGTGTTGCCGAGGAAGGCCCCTCCGATGCTAAAGTCAGTACAGTGTGTAGAAAGAGAAGACTATGCAAGAGAATTAGTTGCTTGAGGCTTTGCTTGAATGAATGCACAAATGTAATATTGATGGCTTTTATACCTCTTCATACATGGAGAAGTTGGGCCTTAGCCCAATTGGCTTGCCTTGAGGGCTGATCTTTGACTTTAGCACAATTGGAGAGATGAACCTTGACCTTGGGCTTTTAATTGGATCATTTAATGCCTAAGCCCAATTGGACTAAATTGGACCCAAACAACTTGCCCCCCAGACCCGATTTGGAAGGATGACGGGTCGGGTTTGATTTAATCAGAAAAGGAGGGAAGTGAATGATTTAATTAATCCAAAAATTTGAATTTAAACCGTAATTAATGAGATAACAACGGTTAAGGCGGATGATTGTGGAAGTTGGACGGATAATGGGCAGTTTAATCGCAAGTTCGTGTGTTTAACGGTTACTTAGTGGGGTATTTAAGAGAAATTGAAACGCGGACTCCCCGTATTCCCATTTCTGGAGATATAATCAGAGGTGCGTCATCTCTCCTCACTTATCCACCAACACAAACCCAGAATTCTCGAGAGAACCCAAGAACCCGCATCAAAACTTCGCAAATTCCCCGAGCATTAAGCTTAGAAACTGAGACTTGCCACTACGAATTCGTAAATTGGCAACTTTCGCTTCAGATTAAGGTAAATTCCTTTGATTTTAGTTTATTTTTCTTCGAATTCGAACTCCTTCCCTTTTTTCGACTTTTTTCTTCGAAATTATCAATGGCGAGAGGAGTTAGGGGTAGAGCCCGTGCTCCAAGAAGAGCAAGGCCAATTCCCGATCCTAGGAACAGGATTGGGACCTGGAATGGACAAAGACCAGAGTCTGACCCTGCTGAAGGGATTAGGGCGACTCCAATTTCCTCGGCTCCTCCTCAGAGAACGGAGGGGCCGAGCGCTTCTGGGCGATGAAGTTCCCGCTGTCCTTTGGGATATCCTCCCTGGGTTTTCAGAGTGGGAGGATGCCGAAGTAGCTTCGGCCATGATAAAGAACCGCCCCTACTCCTGGTGGGTGGAGAATTCCGAACAGTATCGGTTTGCCGAACAAATTGAGTTTCATTACGACATCCTTGAAGCTGATGGGTATTGGTGCCGAATGCCCGTGGCATCCGATAGAATCCATCGTCCACCCCCGGGGTATGTGGGGGTGTACACAAGACAACTTTAGTATGGGCTGAGGTTCCCTTTGGACGTATTCGTCCGAGACTTGCTGATCCATTACAATATTTCCCTATGTCAGCTAACTCCTACTAGCATCCGAAGGGTGATGACATACTTATGGGTCTGCAAGTTCTTCAAGTATGTGCTGAACCTGCACTGCTTCAAAAAGCTTCATCGGCTAGTGCCAAATATTCAAAGTGGGCACGGAAGTCATGGTTCTGGGTGGTACCGGATTGAGTCTCGACCCCAGTACCTAACCATGTGGCCGACGACTCTTCAGACAAGGACTGGAGAGGTCAATGGATTTAGGTTAGGGCACCCACGGACCCGGGCCACCCTTGCGTCTTCAGCGCTCCCCGGTACCTTGCTGAGCATGATCCAGACATGGGAAGTTTAGGTCCCCCCGCAGATAACGGCTCAGATCCAAACCTTAATCAACAAAGTATCTTCGACAAGCTGCCGAACCGGGGGGGGGGGCAGCGGCCGAATGCAGCATATCCCGGAGACTTGGCTCCCCGATACGCATTATGTTTTCCAAGAGAACATGCTAGCAGCTGTCGGCCTCAGCCGAAAGTTTAAGGATGGTAAGCTTCTTCGGCTGGGGCTGGGGCCGAGGCTTTTTAATTATCTCTTTTTCTCCTCTCACTTCGCTTTTTTATGCTGTGCCAACCTAACTGAACTGACCTTTCCCCTTTTCTTTTTCAGAGCGGGACGAGACCAACGTCGGCATTAACTACGCTCGTCTTGGCGTCAACCGAGAACGAGTTGTAACTGATCGGGCCCCCTCTATCACTGAACCGAGGCATAGGGAAGTTCATCTAGACTCTTCCCACTTCCAAATTGAGGCTGTTGCTCTGTATCAGAGGCAGAAGCCTTGGTGGAAGAAGAGAGATCCCTGGTTTCAGCTGCTGAACGAAGAAGCTCAAGCTGCCCGTACGGCCGAAGAGGTTGCACGGGTTATTGAAGCTTGTGAAGGAGGAGAAGGGTCCTCCAGGGCTGCTGAAGAAGAAGCTGCAGCTAGGGCAGCTGAAGAAGACGAGGCTTTGCTGAAGACCTCGGTGAGCTTTCAGACTTAACTTTGTCTGTTTCTGTTTTTTTTTTTTTTTTTTTTTTTTGTACTCACATTCTTCCTCCCCCCTGTCTTTTACAGTCTGAAGAGAGTAACAAACACAGAGAAGGGAAAGCCCCTGTTCGTCCCGAAGACCAGATACAAGAAGAGTCTTCAGACTCAGACATGGACGAGCAGCCGCTTCAGAAAAGGCGCCGAAGAATGGCCATCATCGGCCCGCATGACTTTCAGCGGAGGTCGATGACCATCGCCGTTGAAATAAGGGAACCCGAGGAAGGCAATGGATCGCCGAGGGTTCCCCGGCCACCACCTCAATCACCTCCAAAGACCCCTCCGCCACCTCCTGAGATGGAGGTGGATCAGAAAACTCCCGAATCTAAGGGAGGGGTCCAAAAAGAAGTTCAGGAGAGTGTTGCTGAGCACAAGAATGAGGATGCCGTGATGCCCAGTGCTGAGGGTTTCACAGCAGACATTGCAAGAGAGGTTGAGGCTTTCGTCCTCACCCCTGAAGAAGAAGAGGTCATAATAATTGACTCTTCTGAGAAGGAGGATGCTGAGCCATCCAAAGTTAAAGAAGCTCCGTCATCATCCTTTCCTTCCTTCCAGACTCTGCAATCTGGAGAAATGGGTTTCTCGGCCCCCCGAATTCCAATCCCAGATCACATCTGGGACCTCATATGGGGTCAGAACCGAGAAGGTGTTGCATCCTACTTCGGCGATTTTGCTGGCACGTCCGAAGTAGATAGGGCAAGAATCTGGTTGCTGAAGGCCACTGCTGGGATGGGCGAATCCAGCAGATCAGTTCCTGACCCAGCCAGGTCTAACCAACTGCTGATGATGCAGGTGATTTTCCTTGCCTTTATTTCCTCTAAAATTCAGCTCTATTTTTATTTTTTATTATTTTTAACTTGTACTCCTGTTTTCAGTTCGTGCACAATCAGACTCTCACTGTAGAGCTGATAGATACCCTACAAGATAGGGTAGACGCTGCCGAGCACGACAAAAAGGTAGCCGAAGAGGAGTTAAAGCTTGCTAAGCTAAAGCAATCAGCAGCTGAAGAGAAGCAGCAGAAGGGTGAGGAATACGAGAAAAAAGCTGCTGAAGCCCTCAAAACCTTCTGCGACGCTATGGAGAAGGAAGTTTTTCCCCCACTGATGGAAGGGGAAAAATTCCTCCAAGAGCACATGGGAGTGGACATCTCCAAATTCAAGGCTACCATTGAGAGCCGAATCCAGGAAGGAGCTGCTGCACAAGCTGAAGTGCAGCAACGGCTAGAAGCTCTTGAAGCCAGCAGAATGGCTGCTGAAGAGATGCTCCAAGCCAGGGATGTCCAACTCTCAGAGGCTGCTGCTGCTGCTAAAGCTCAAAGAGCTAAGCTCCAAGAAGCTGAGGTTCAGCTGATGGCCAAAAAGGAAAAAGTGGCCCAGGCTCAGACAGAGGCTTCCCAAGTTCAGCAGGAGTTGAATGAGCTGAAAGGTTCCTCCTCCAAGCTCGCCGATGAGCTGAAGAAATCCAAGGAAGACTTGGAGGAGACCCAGAAGAAGTTGGCTGATGCTGAGGCTCTACTCAAAGTCTGTGTCTATACCCAGGAGGAATATGAAATGGGCTTCAGAAACGGGTTCAGAGTCTGCCTAAGAGTCTGCCTTCATGCTGAGCCGAAGCTGGACTGGTCCAAATGTGCTGAATGGGTCCAGAATCCCGAAGACCCTCATATGAAGTATGCAACTCCAGTCGAAGCTGAAATCCTTAAGGCTGAGGAAGCCGAAGAAGAAGCTGAGAGAATGGAGTTGGAGGCTGAACAGAGGGAAAGGGAGGCTCGGCAGAGTGCAAAGCCTGCTTCTTCCGCTGCTGGGGCTCAACAATGCTGACCAGTCTGATCCTCGGGCTGAAGCATAGGAACTCGGGCAGTCGTCTTCAGAATCTTGCGGTTCATCATGCGCTCAACTTTAGACTTGCCGCTTTCTGAATTTTTTGCCTTGTTTTTTGCTTCAGCTTGTCTTGTCGTACAAAACAGTTTAATTTTTTTGCTTCTGTACGTATTTCGGCAGCTGTTATTTTCCGCTTGTGGGCGGCTGCCGATACAGTTTATTTGAACTTGTAGCTCAATTTCTGAGCATAA